CATGAAGGTTAGGGGGCTGCTGTGCAGATTAGCAGCCTACATCACCTTGAGAAGAGGGAGCATGAAGTCGCAGGCCAGGGAGACTCCCTGAGTTGCTGGGCTGTTAGCCGTTAAAGGAATCGGGCGCTCTGGATCAGCCCTACAGCCCACACATATGTCTGGATGTAGGGGCCGATCGAAGAGGTAGCAGTTGGCTTGTTTGTTTTTTTAAAGTTTATTTCATTCATGAGAGAGAGAAGGAGAGAAAAGAGACAGTCACTCCCAGTAGGGTCTTCACTCTGTGACCCATCTGCAGCCTCAGCTGGCCAGGACCGTGGACACTCACCTGCATTCGGCATGGCCAGGGAGACTGACACATGAACGGGACCCCCCCCATGACCTCAGCCTGTGAAGCATCATGCTATCACTATGCCACCATCTAGCCCTTTGGTCCCTTGCCCTCCCTTTTCTGCCCTCAAGTTCCTTTTTCTTCAACTCTGGGCATAGGTGCACCTTGGGAGTCTAACCCCCTTCCTTGCTGTCTGCCAGGACCTGTTCTGCGTGCTGAGGGGACCACAGGGAACCAAAGACACAAAGTGACTATCTCAGAGTCTGCATTCTAGATGGCAGAGACAGACACTAAATAGAAGAGAAAATACAAACAAAGTGTTCATTCGCTTTATATATGTGCTTTTTATAATAGGAATTTGCCTTGGGATGCAATTAGCCGTGATAGAGTTTGCAAGAAACTGCCTGAACTTGAAAGGTAAGAGCAAAGTTTGCTAATAACCATTTTAAAACTAAACTCGCATCCCTTAAAATATTTTTTAGCAATATCAGTGAATGACAGAACTCTCTTTCTTACTCTTCAGATGCTGATTCTACAGAATTTGAGCCATACGCCACAGTGCCTGTGGTAAGTGGCTTGTTTGTAGTCATTGTCATTGTTTCTGGCTCTCGCCTAACCTCATAAGGGGCTAATATTATTTTTTTCTTATAGGACCAGAACATTTTAAATGATACGTGTGTGTATGATTGTTATTTTGATAGCAAATCACTTGGGTCTCTGTAGTCCATTTCCTCAGCTATGCCTTGGAGACAGACACAGTCCTGGACTGATTTCTCTTTGCCGCAGCTTTCAAGCTTAATGTTTAGGAAAGGATTAAATTGGCTGTGACAACAATTTATAACCGCTAATATAAATAAATGAGCTGTCCTGTCTCTAGACTCATCCGCAGTCTGCTTGTTTTCCACATTGGTGGTCATCTGTCTTTCTGAAACAACAGTGACAACCATTCTGATGCTGCTCCTTATCTTCCACCAATTTCTTTTCCCCTGGAATATTATCATCCACCAATTTCTTTTCCCCTGGAATATTCAGTCCAGGATTCTTGGCTGGGCCCTGAAGGCCACTGTACTCTGTCACCTGCCACTTTGCTAATTTGTCCCACAGCGTCGCGATTCCGCCCATGCTTCGGGTTTTAGGTTAGTTTTTCAGGATAGTCTGAGTCCCTGTATCTGAGACGTTTCCCTTCTTCCAGTCTCTCTTCCCCTCGGATCTCAATAAAACCAATGAAGAAGTTAATTAAAAAAACAACAATTTGGTGGCCAACAACTTCAGACTCATCCTGGGAAGTCGTTTGTGACCTGTTTCTTCTCGGTCTCTACCTCCTGTGCCTGCATTCATTGGTAACATGGCACTCTCCCCAAGACAGTAGTTGGCCTCGAGTCTGCTTTTCTCCACATCCTTGTGAACGCTTGAGTGAGTGCCAGTGCCAGGCTCTGGCGCTCACTCAGCTGTATCCCTGCTGGTGAGCAAGCGCCTCTAACAGAGCATGCTCCTTGCAATTGTGATCGGTTTCTTTAAAAAAAATTTACTTTTCTTTCTTTCTTTTTTTTAGCTTTTGCTATAGGCTATGTGTTTGCCAGTGAAAGAGAAAGAGAGAGAGAAAGTGAGAACTCACTCCCCCCAGGGGGATGGTGATGTGGTAGTCCCTTCTCTTCCATTCTTTTCTCGGAATTTTGGACATGCATGCACACGTGCCTGGTGTAATTTCAAGTCGCTGGGTCTGGGACTCAAACTGCAGAGCCAGCCATGTGGGATCCAGTGCCTTACCCTCCATGCCACCTAATGGCTTGTGATTGTTTTTATTCATAGCTTTATTGAGACAGAATTTACATAACCACAGATTTTAGCTGTTTAAAAGTGTATAATCCAATGACTTTTAGCGTTTTCACAGATCTCTGTAACTGTTGCCCTAGTCAGTTTTGTATCATTTTCATTACTCCAGAAAGAAAACCCACACCCCTTAGTTGACACTCCTATCTCTGCCGCCAGCCTCAAGGAACCATTAATCCACTTTCTGTATATATATATATATATATACTTTTAGTTAGCATATTGCTTTCAAGGTCTGTCCATGTTGTATTGTTTTTTTTCATTTTAAAGAATTATATACTTAATTTTTAAAAAAGAATTGTTTATTTATTTATTTAATTCCATTTGTTATTATTTTTTCTATTTCACTAGAGAGAGACAGAGAGAGAGAGAAAGAGCAAGCAAGCTGCCAGGTCTGGGACTTGAACCATGGTTGGCCATATAGGAATCCAGCACCTTTAACCACCACACCCCCTGCCAGCCCCCTATATTTAATTTTATTATTATTATTTTAATTTGCTGTAGGGCATGTGTGCTCACAAGAGACAGAGAGACAACGAGAAAGGGGAGGGGGGAGTGAGATAGCAAGCCACCAGGTCTGGGACTTGAACCATGATCGACCATGTGGGAGTCCAGCTCCCTAACTACCATGACACCTACCAGCCCCAGAACATATCTTTGCATTGCTGACTAACATTCCATTTTATGGACACATCATATTTTATTTATCCATTTATCCATTGATAAACATTTGCTTGTTTCTACTGTTTGGCTATTGTGAATCATACTACTATAAACATTTATGAGGGCCAGCAGGTGGCATGGTGATTAAGACACTGGACTTACATATTTCCCACCCTCTGCCATTTCCCACCCTCCTCGCACACTATCTCAGTTGTCCACAGTTGTTTTCCATTCCTTCCCCCCCACACACATTTTATTAATTCACAAAATTTCTTAAATAATCTAACTATTTTCAATAGCAAGTTCAGCTGCTATATACATATCTGTGAATACTTTAGGTATGAAACTAGTAGATTGAATATACTATAAGGTAGCATCTAGCTGATGCTATATAGCTTTCTATGGTCATTAAATAGGTATTTTTAATATATTTTTTTAATTTCAAGAAAAGCAGTTTTAGCTTTAATAAATCAAAGAAATGCTAACGAAATTTGCTTAAAAGTTAAAGCCTGGTGTAATGGCTATGTCGCTGGACTCCCATGTGGTTTACTGTGGTTCAAGTCCTGGACCCAGTAGCTTAAACTCATGCTGGGTGCATGTGCGTGTGTGCTCAAGATCCTGAGAGGAGAATGGAGGAGAAAGAATTGTGGTGTGGCCATGCCCCCTGGGGGGCTGATTTCTCATTTTGTGTCTCTCTGTCTCTTTTCTTTTCTTTCTTTCTTTTCTTTTCTTTCTTTCTTTCTTTCTTTCTTTCTTTCTTTCTTTCTTTCTTTCTTTCTTTCTTTCTTTCTTTCTTTCTTTT